GCCAAAAATTTTTAACAAACCCTGCAATTCAGTCAACACGTACGCTTGATAAAACGGTGATGCATCTGGATGCGTGCGTGGATTCGAAAACAAAAACGCGGCTCGAAACGTGCGTAGCGAGATTTTCACGAGCGATGGCCTGAACGAACGTCGACTCCGTTGTATAAACATGTGTCAAACTGCAAACGAACATGGAACGTGTTTCAAAGCGACGAATGAAAGAAGAGTAAAGCCTTGTCAATCCTTCGCGATCCAAGAGAAGTTCGAAAAATCAATCAGTATTAAGAGTTTTTCTGATCTTAATTTGACGTCCAAGTTGCGATCGTCCAACATTGTTTTACGAAGAATTGAAAGATACAGTCGCAAGGTACATACTTATTATTTCGAACAGATTGAAACCGAAATAGAATTTCGGTGAATCAAACTCTCGACATCATAGGAAAAATGTTTTTTTTTTCAATTGTCTTTGACATATATAGAAATGTACGCACGGGGACAGAAATCTGAATTTGCAGGGGCACATATAAATACGTATCTTGAATATACATATATGTATATGAGCCGGTATCCCTAAAAATTCAGATGGCTAAGCATTTCTGTTCCCGTGTGTACATAAAGAATGGCAGCGTTTGTGTATCTTTAGCATGACTTAATATTCGAGGTTTATCATTGTCTTTATATCGGAATCTCATATCTATGCAGAAGTATCAGTTATATGACAGATAATAAATTAAGTCAGAAGAACCGTAGAGTACGGAACAAAAATTTTTAAAAATTAGAAACTACTCGACTTTTGTGCTCATATTAAAATATACTTTGAGCATATACATAAGATTCAGTGTTTATTAAATTCGATTATTGGTTATTATTGCTCGTATCGAACCGCAAAAAAGGATCAGATGTCATTAGGCGCGAAAAGAGAAGAAGAAGAAGTATGCGCAGAAATAACAATGTTGAATCTCATAAACTCTTATCAAGCATACCGATACACAAACCGTGAAGGGTTAAACCATTCGAAAACGCGCTGTTTTCCACTTCGTTTGCTGCCTACTCGAGCATCAGTCCTGCGCGTCTAAACCAGTCTCGATTTATCCCGCGTGTGTGACTACTCCGGTAAAATCTTAAGTGCTAATGGCCCCCTCGAGCATCCGACAAACGTAATTTCATTAGCACTCGGGACTTTCTACGCTTCGGCTTCTATTTTCCACAGCATTCCCCCCCGTAATGCGATGGTAGAAAGCTTGTTTGTTGAAAATGTATTTAACTCCCCGCTAACCGATATTATCAGAAAAACCAATGTAATTTCAAGTGTCAATTTTTTGTCTGTATATGTGCAGTAAAACATTTGCCGCAAATAGGATTTACATAGAACGTTTCACACAGAAATTACATAAAATATTAGTACTGAATTTTTCCATAAATTTGATGCATTTCTCTTAGAAAAAAATAAATAAAATATATGAAAAATACTGAAAAAAAAAGTTATGTTTCAAATAAAGAGGCAACACAAATTCTGATTTTTTATTTAAATCAAAGAAAAAATCAAGAATTCGTTTAATGTCAAAAATTAAAAAATTATATATCAGGCAATGTCTTGCATAATTGACATTCCATTAAGAAAAAGATCATAAAAAAATATTAATAAAAAACATTTCTGTAAAAACTAATATTAACAATAATAATATAATACAATGAGTTTCTATTATACGTTCTGATTATCTAATCTTCAATTAGAGGCAGAGAGAATCGAATAAACATTAATTAGCGGCCATTTCCCTTCGGGCGTCTCAAATTAATCGCATCGATTACTTTCAAAATTGCTATACCACATTAATACGCCTCGACGTCGAGTGAAACATCGCAATAAATTTTGAAACGCATTCCACCGCGAGCGTCTTTACGCGAAATACGAAAGGACAAGATCATAAGAGCGTTGCTACATTCTAGCGGAGCAGTTAAGCGGTTATGCTCCCGCGAAGAAAAGATCGGTCGTGGTGATACTTCTAAAATTAGCTCGCTGCTGCCGCGCGTTGCCGCCGCCGCCGCCGCCGCCGCGTAACTTCCTCTCTCTCAGTGCGCGTATTCGCGAATGTCGTGCGCGTAAATTCCTGCGTGCCGACGTGGACTCGCAACCGCGCGCAAATTAATTGCCGTCGAGCTTCAGAAAAGTTGCCTCGAAAAGCGCACTTCGTGTAACTAATCCCGGTCGGCGCCATAAATTTCCGGCTACCCGCTGTTTTTCCCCGCGTGTTTCCACTCTATCTCGGCGAAGATGGTGGCTCGATAATGACTTCGCGTATATGTGTTAGTTAGTATTTACGCAAGAAGGTAAGATCATGAAGAAGTAGAAATGGGAATATCTTAAAACGCGAAATACCTATGCCCAATTTTACATCGCCGCTAATATTGTGACGAAAGTGCAATAAAATCATTATATATTTCCATAACTTCCTTAAAATAATTTGTATTATTTAATAACATTGTCGCGTAATCAATGCAAATCTAAGACAAATTGCATTTTTTAAAAATAGAAGATATTAATCCTACATTCTATTTTGAAAATTTCGTCAGATTTCCTTCGTTTTCTATTAAATTCTAGATCGCTGCAGCTCTGACGCGATATTTCTAGATTCTCAGTGTTTCTACTGAGAATCTAATAACTGAATTTCTAATAGAAGTGAATTACTTGAATATCGATTCAATATATTTCAAAGAAGAAAGAGCATCGAGAGTGCGTTACATGGACGTCAGGAAACTTGAATGCAGGTTCTCCATCGACGGCACCGGGCAGGCAGCTCTCCCGTGGAGATTGCAGCGACGTTTAATAGAGCCATGATGTATCTGCTCCGGGTTATCAATTAGCAGCAATTGCGCTCGGTCCACGGAAGTATCGATAACGCGCGATAGCGAGCGAGAGATGGAAGTCTTAATCGCGCTGTAAGCCGGCCGTACGTGAGAAAATTTATACCCCATATCACAGTTTTCGGTGCTGCATTATCACGCGACGGCCTCCGGCGCACCTACATTATCGCGTTCTTTTCTTCCGCGTTAAACGTCACGTCGCGGGCGGGGGACTCGAAGTGGGCATTAATTAAAGGCCCGCGGGGCCCGCGGAGCAGGTGTCATGATAATTCCTTCGAATTGGCCGCGACGGACGCGGGACGGCCGGGGCTCGATTATGCAAAGCTATGCAACGCGCGGCCGTAATCACACGCGTCGTTTCACGCGTCGCACGAAATTATTTATCCAACTGTCAATAATGTTGCTGCCCTCGCGCATACGCGGTGACACAAGCCATTAGCATAATTTATCACGCGTGGATTAGGCGCGCATTAAGGATGCGCGGTGATTGCGACGAAGCGCCTTCTCCTTTTTTAAGACGCTATTGATGCATTAATCTCTCCCTTTCGAGGGGAGAGATTGAACTCCCCCTCTCTATTCGCGGAAATACGAACGTCAATTGCAATGTTGACACGCTGTCGATATGGCGCCTGACACTCGTTTGATTTGCCTGTCGTGCCAATGTTGACGGCCAATTATTCGCGCGTCACCTACCTCGAGTCGTTTCGACGCAAGTATCACATACTAAGAATACGATAAACTAATAAATTATCTCGTTAAAATGTCAAGAGGTATTAGTACCTTCGTGCAGCATTTATATTTTCGTGACATCGTGATATCGCAAAAAAAAGATAACGCCGCAAAAGGGACGATAGCCGCGGAACGCGTTAAAAATAATTTCATGCATGCGCTCTGCTGCCCTTTAAAAAGCGAACGAAGAGTCGACGTTGTGAAATACGATCGCGGTTGAGTGTCACTCGTTATACGAAGCGTCGCACAAAGGGTTAACGCGCGCTGGGACTCGAGCGATGACCCAGAGAGTTAACCCAAAGTTTAACCGAGGGCAATTTCAGAATTGGCCCAGGGTTAGCCCTTGTCTCCGAGAAATAAATAAATCATCGTAAGTGAAAGCGAGGATCAAGCGAGCCGCGTAGGCTTGCAGGGCCAATGCAATTTTCCAGTCATAATCTTTTAATGCGGATTACTCGTTTTGATTAACTTCCGCCGGAAATGAGTAGGAAAGGCGTAAAAATTTTAAATGGCTTACGCGACGAGGCGACCAAGTAGAACTTCTATTCAAAAGAGCTTTCGCTTTTCGAACAAATAACATTGATGATAAAAGAAAATTTGCTTGTGAATTACTTCCTAAAAAGTACTATTGATTTTCAACTTCTGTGTTCATTAAGTAATTAAATTCATAATTTAAAAAATTTCATAAAGATCGAAACTTTAAATTGAATTCACGTTAAAAATAAATTTCAATCAGAAAATTCTTCTGACCGTAAGAGAAAGATTATTTACTTCCTCATTAAGTCTATTTTAGTTAGTGTTGCATTCTCTTATACTTTCTATCTTTCGCGTGACAAAATTAACTCTTTAGTACACACGGTGAGTCTTTCGTGTCTGGATTAATTTTCATTACTTGTACAAGTAAATATATTTCATTATTATTATATATATTTTAACATTTTTAGAAAGTATATATCGCGACATTGCTGCAATAGTGTCATATCTCGAAAATTTTGGGTTATTCATCGCCAGATAAAAGTACACGCCAAAATCCATCTTTTCCAATGAATAACTCAAAATTGTCATTTTTCGAGATATGAAACTATTGCAGCAATACCGCGATATAAAGTTGTGTATTAAAAAAAAATTGTATATAAATGTTATAACTATAAATACAGCCGATATGAATGATCCAAACGTGTGTACTAAGGATTAATAGTTCATAAAAAAAAAATTATATAGATAATTATTTGTAATGTAACTAATGTCTATATTAATATTATACTAACAATCACATTATAAATATGTCTGCCAAAAAATGCCCGATTTCTTCACCCGGTATAAATAGGTCATTCGCCCACGGATCCGTTCAATGCAGCATGATATAACAAATATATTCTTGGCAATAGGCCGAGATTATGTTCGCTTACCTTTTCGACGGCTTCCAGCGCCGCTTCAGCACTCCCAGCATGAGTAAACCGACGAGGACGAGGCCTAAGCGCCAACGGGCCTCCGGACTCGCAGAGCTACGTATCAAGCACCACTACCAGCACTAACCGACCACCACCGGAATCACACAACCACCGGACAACCTCGTCGATCTTCCCGAGGGATTCCTTTCTATATCGGCCGCGCACGAGTCACACCATGATCCCCGCCGAACGAGAGTTCCTTTTTCCGCGCGCGGTCTCCTCAGTCTCTCACGTCACCGACGATCGATCAATTTTCCCTGATGATCGACGCTCGCCAATCGGATGGATCGTCGCCGTTTAACCCCTTCGCGGAATTACTTTCAGTCACGGCACGGTGAATCGCGTTCTGCAGCGGTTTTCAAGCAGCTTCTTGTCATCCTCGTTACTGCACGCCTTTATTTACCGGACACCTTCAATCAGAAAAATAGCAACGACACGCTTGAAATAACTGAAATGAAATATGGACATATGGACATGCATATTGATGCATGTAGGTACTAAATATTTGAAACACAGCCTTGGACGAAAGTATTTGCAGGCATCTTATTATTTAACGTCTTAACTCAAAAATTGTTTTATGATATTTGTTGTGAATTATCCTTTGTTTCAAGAACCTTTGGTTAAGAAGTCTTTAAACTAACGTATAACGCTGATTGGTAACCAATAGGAAACAATATAGATAAAAGAATTCCAGATAAATAAAAAAATATAGGTATCTAATACTTTTGGCAAAGGATATTGACAACAAACATTTATAGAAAAGAAAGTGACAATTAACTTTCACAGCTTTCGACAAATTGTCGAATTATTCAAAATATTTTGAACATTTTACTATTTAATACAACTTTATGTATTTACATTTTTTATATTCTTGTTAATATTTTTTTATTAGGCATAAAATCTATACATAATCCATTGATTAAATTCATAAAAAAATTTATCACACGCGATTATGGACCCTGAAACGTATAAGTAAACCGCGGATATTGTTGCAGCTTGAAATTATATCTCGCGCAGCGTATAAGCAAAGAACAATATTATGTTTCGCTAAAGATAAATTCTGTCCGTGGATGTTTTACGGCGTATTGTTTCGTCGATGGAGGTTCAATAACGAGTAACAATCGTTCCACGTGCGTCCGTTAAATATACAATTTGCATCAAACGTCACACGAGAACGACGGATTCGCTTTTATTTTCCGCGCTGCATGCGCGATTTTACGACGCGGAGCACAACGCTCTCGCACGTAACGCAACACGGTCGCGAAGATTCTATTTGCCATTCACAAAGGATCTCATAAATAATAAAGCACGTCGCTCGACAAATATTTATCCCGCTTCCGGGCGTGCGGAATAATTTATCAGCCTTCGAGAAAGAGAGAGAGAGAGAGAGAGAGAGAGAGAAAGAGCGCCCTAGCGTCACGTCGCGTCGGAAAATCCCCCCTTCCTGGCGTGAAGGAAATTTTAATCGATAATTCAAACACTAGTTCAAAATCCTGGAGTTTAAGTACCTACTAATAATGTGGTTTTATCTGAATATCGAGAATCGCTTCTACATCGTCGCTTAATTGACTGACCGCCCGGGAGAGAATCGGGCTGCCGCGTCGTCGCCGCGGTGCCCAATGATTAAAGATCGAACAATAAATCACGACCCTCTAATTAAGACGATAATTAATCGACGGCGTTCCAAGGAGACGCGCGCCTTTTGTCGGCTGAGCGAGGAAAATTGATCCCCCTCACAAAAACTGTGCACCGGCCTTTTTCTCCGGACGGGAAGTAACGGTATTCTTTGTTTTTTTTTTTTTTTTAAGATTTTTATAAGCCCTATGAATTTGTATTTATCTTACGAATCATAAAAATGCTGTTACCTCACTGCACACGAGAAGAAACCAGCTATTAGTAAAAGAAATCGTGTAATTAACTGTCTTAATAGCGTGCTACATTGCTCAAAAGAGTTCAATTCGAGATTTAATCTGATGTTTAAGCGGTTTCTTAATTACTTGAAAATTTGGAGAAAATATATATCGTTGGATCTTGGATTATTTTTCGAAATAAAAGTTCGCTTTGAAAAGTAGATGGTTACTCGACAGAATTTGATTCAAATTTTAATCCGACGTTTAAGCAGTTTCTTAATTACTTGGAAATTTGAAAAATTTAAATCGTTGGATGTTGAAATATTTCTCAAAGTAATTTTTCAAAATAATTTTTACTTTGAAAAATAGGTGCTTACAAAAATTATATTAAATTTTTACAATACGAAATGTATAAATTCATAATATTCACCAATAAAAAATAAGCGTACGTCAAAGTTTTATTCGACATGGTGGACATCGATGGAAAACAAGAGCGTTCGTGCGTTCTGAGTTCTGACGCATGCGAAAGTAAATATGGAAACGTCGATTTCCGATTCTCCAATGGGAAATGACCGGTTTAGGCCGGTATTAGAGTGACCTTGATTTGCCTTCTGAGATTATTGGTTTGCGAGCAATCACGATCAATGCGGGCTGAGCATCCAATTGCCGCGAAATTGCATAACCCGTGCTCAAAGGCTATTTCGGGCTTAACCGCAGTCGTACGCGGGGGACGGAAGGACAGGGTAGAAACGGTATTTCAAATCGATATTTTATTTACTGTGCGTTTAAATCACGCCGACAATGAGCATAAGGGCGCACGCGAGCGTGACACGCGAGTGCAAATAACACGATCGCAAATAATAATTTCACCGCGGTGGACAGATATATTAAAAGGGTATCGTGGAATATTATTGGGCATCTCGGAAAACTGTGTTGTATAATTGAAATCGGTATTTGGGGGGGGGGGGGATGCACGCGAGCGCGCAATATATCGTAAATATATTTACATTGAAATCGGAAAACAAATTATATTTCAAATTGTTTAAAAAATTAATATCAATGTCTCCGCGAGAGGCACACGTGTATTCCCCTGGACGACATAGAAATATATCCTGCGCAAAACTCCCCTGGCGTAAGTAAAACACAGGGGCCACGTTCTATTATTGAGATATTTATACTTTCTAGTACAGCGAATCGACTTGTCCGCCAATTATCGCACGCTGATTAAGTCGGAGCGGGTTTCCGTTTAATGACGCTGCTGCTCCACGACATCCGTGGATTATTTTTAGAACAGAACTTTCAGTCCGTTAATGGAAAATTCTATCGAGACATTATCGTTAATTAAATTCACGAGGGATCCTTACGCAGAAATAAATTAGCGTTAATTTATTAATTACAAAAAAAAGAGACATTAAATCTATTCTGGTATACATATATATTATATAGCTCGTATAATAGCTCGTAATACATTAAATGCCTCTTATATCTCTCATTAGATGTCCATTTCTATCAATGTAAATTAATTTCAATTAATTTTAATTAATTTTAATTTACTCTTTACCTTCTTCTAAAGATCTTTTACAAATTAGAAAAAGATAAGGAGAGTAAGTTAAACCCGAGGTTAAAGTTAATCTACGTTAATGGACATTAGAAGAAGGTAAAGAATACTTAAGTTAAGCCAGAAATCAATATTAATCTACATTGGTGGAAACGGTCATAAATCAATTCAAAATGGCCACCGAATTGACCAGCCGAATATTCACCGACTGTGCCGCCGCAGCGTGCAACATTCTATTCCCACCTAAAAAGGCGGGATTTATCGATGTTCATCGTAATAAAAATGTTCCACTTACTTCCTCACGTCGCTGCTCGAAAATTCGGGGACTCGTCGCTCGAATACTCCCAATTATCGTGCGGGATCAGATACTTGTCGCGACGCGTGCATGTTTAATGCGTCGGTCCCGTTACGCGTGTATTAAACTCGCGCGATCGCGGCGATATTCAGGAGGAGTACACACTTATCCCGAACATTCGTGACGCGCGACACAACAGCTCTCTCGCATATCGCGCTCGGATCCACGTCGATTTCTTGCCGGGTATCTAATCGGCGAGACGGTAATTAACGGGAGACTCGCACGTATCGAGAGATAGAAGGTTTTCGCAGATTTCGCGCTCGGCCGGCAATGAACTGGCCCGTCGATCAAAGGTCACCGCGCGAAGTTGACCGCGGGTGCAGTTCACTTGACGCATACACAGGGCATTCGATTTGGCCGATCGGAAGGAAGAATTTTGCAAAAATTGATCGATCGAAGAGAACGCTTCGTAGCGTTTGCCAAGTGGACAAAACCGAATAATCCGAGAGGTGCGAGAAACCGCGGCGCCATAGAGAATTTTCAAACGCGGAGCCGTCGATCGAAAGTCGCGCCTCCGAGGAACGCACACCGGCACTCCGAAACGAACATCCCAGGATCACGGGACGATCAATAATCGCGCGCGCGAGAGTTCGAAACTGGAGCACCGCGCGCGTCGCGAGAGCGAGAGAGACAGAGAGAAGACGCTTATCGCGGCGAAACTCCCCCGATAATCCGCGGGGGGGCGGATTAAGTATCCGCCGCGGATTGCGTCGCGTATATGTGATACGCCTTAACCCCTTTCCTCGAAACGCTCTCGGCGGAGTAAGGTAATCGCGTATTGACGAACAACGAGCGCTGGAGCAGCGGGAGCGCAAAGAGAGAGAGAGAGAAAGAGACAGAGAGATATCGATCGGTTTACTCACCTCATTTTTCGCCGGTTCCGGGTCCAAGGGCACAGCTTCCGGCTCCACCGCCGCCGCCACCACCACCACCTCACGAGACGGAGACAAGCGGCGATCCTCGCGATCCTGCTGCTGTCGGCACGGCCGTCTTCCTACGCATCTCGGTGCCGCGGAAGCCACGACGACGTGTGTATACGTGCGTGAGTGCGTACCGCGACGAGACCCGGTTTTTCTCGAAATTCGACCCGGTGACCGCGATTCCGCGCGACGTACGGACGAACGGACAGACGGGACGGACGGACGGATGAACCGGAGCAGAGCCCGATCGCGCGAGGCACCGGCGATGCCACCACGAAACACACGACGAATGTTTGCACCTACGAACGCGCGCGAAAATGTTGCACCGCTGGCGGAGAGACCGAGAGAGAGAGTGAGAGAGACACGACGAGTTGATATACTTCGCGCGCGCACACGCGAAACGACAGTGCGCGACGCCACGGACCGACCGATCGCGCGCCGAACTGAAGACTGAACAGAGACGACACGCATCGCGCCCCGCCGGCCGCCACCGGCCCCTCAGCGCCGTGCGCGGCGCGCTCCCCACCACGCGAGCGCCCCCCCCCCCCCACTACGCGCGCGCACGTTCACAGGTGCGGCGGCGAGGGAGTCGAGGGACTGCCGCCAACGGGGCGAGCGAAATTCCGAGAAATACGTGCTTGCCATGTAATTCCGAGAAGGGGGGGGGGCCACACGACGCTTTTTGTTGATGTTTTGAAATCGTATTGTCTCGCTCGCCGATTTGATTTCGCTTGACGCAAATCGTATGAAGATATGTATGTGCTACGCCGAAGAATATTCAGCGCGGAAATTACGGAGTTTTGGGTAAATACGCCGAGAGAGAAATTAGGTACATGCGAACGTTTGGTAAACGAGAGAGAGATCTTGTTAGATGTGGAGGATCTGAAAAGCACAAACGTATGCATAAATACATATATTATATTATGATTAATTTAACATTAAAGTTCATATATATGCCTATAATATATATGCCTAAGACAGACGTGCCGCACTCTCTCTCTTTCCTTTTTCTCGAGAGCCTTAATTTTTTGTTCCCATATTATCGTAGGTAAACTTTTAGCGTGGGTGCTACTCCGTTTTTTTTTAAAACTTGTGTATCATACGTATCTCGAGGCGTAGAAAGCAAATCTGCCCGAAAAGATGATTATTCGAATCACGGTTGCCACCATGCAACTGCAAGTGCTTTTTACACCACGGTTGCCACCTCTCTCTCTAGCTTTGAAGAAAAATTCCGACTAATTACTTTTGATTTTGGTAGAAATGGGCCTGAATTAAGGAGTGCCAACCGTGCTCATTAACGAATTTTATTCATCGCTTCGCGCGGACCAATGGGAGCGCGTTACTAATCGCAGGCCGAAGTCTGAAATTGTCGTGAAATTGCGTACTTGCACCACGTTGATCAAAGGATATTCTTCCCCCCATCCAGTCTCGCATTACGCGGCTAGACACGGTATTATTAGTCTTATTATTCACGCCTTACGCTTGGAATATCTGAATATCTAATTGAGAGAGATTTATTGAAACTCTACAGCGCGCATTTATCCGACACGCCAGGCAAAATTAACACGGCCCCTCAAGCAACTCGACGCGCACCGCACCGGCACACCGAGAGACGCTTCCGCCATGCAACGCGTTCCTCCCTTTTTTCGGACACCGCGAAGCTGCCTCGACAGCGGTTATCTTATCGCGAGCGATCTTCGCTAATGCATTCATCGCGCCGTAAAACATCGTCAACAGAGAAAATGAACGCCGAAGAGGCCATGCACGTTAAATCCGGCGAAATTGGTAAGTTCGATCGACAATTTGAGAGAGATGTTTCATTGCTCACGGAATTGACGATGAGATTTCGTATAATTATAAAATCTTGTCGATAGCGGAATTATATGACTCGTTGTACGCGATGCACGCATGCGGAATACAGTTCGGGATTCGGGCATGCGTTTTCGTCTATCATTGATATCTATATTTCTATATAATCTCGCTATTTATGGAAATTTCATTAAAGTTTGAGCTCACCCCATCTCCCTCTCCCTGCGGTACGATTGTATAATATCGCTGAGGCGATAAGATAAGATAACCGACGTATGCCGTGTTTGCATTACAATAAAAACTATTTGATCGGAGCTCCTTGCGAATGACTGCATGAAATATATGCCACTGAATTAGTCATATCTCATTGAAATACAATGCACAATAAATGTTTTTTTTTATTAGACGATTTAATTCATCGATTTTATCGCACTTACAGGAAAATATTGGAAAGCCAATGACTGGAAGAAGCAAATAATTATTTTGGAAATTAAAAGCACCGTTCGTTAGTGCCTTTACTCAAAATAAGTACACTCTCAAGCATGTATCGTCAAAATGGAGATACACATGAAATAGAAACCTTACGCAACTACAAAGGACATGAGTACCAGCAAAAATAAAGTACCTCGAAACCAGAGGTTTTCCATTGTGAGGAAATAATGTTATGCGATACAAATGTACTAGATAATTGGAGATACATTTAGTAGAACTCCCGATTTCGAGGTACTTTATTTTTTAATGGTACTTACGCCCCTTGTAATTACGTAAGGTTTCTTTTATTTCAGCGTGTACCTCCAATTTTGACGGTACATGCTTAAGAGAGTGTAATTATTCGGCCGGTATTGAACTTCTGTAACGAGGTACGATAAAATCGATAAATTAATTTGCGTATGAATTATAAATGTAAGTTTATCATCGCGATATTAAATCGATTATGAGAATTTCGACGAAACTGAAAACTGGCTCTGGCGCGTAATTGCAAATGACTACATCTTCTAATCGCAGGCAGTTCTTATACGATTCCCCGCGCGATCAATTTGTCGGACACGTCGGCGGCGGTTTGTCACACGGCGCGAAATTAATTTAAATGCGACACAGAGGTACACTGGCATCGCAAAGACCGGGCGTATACGCGTCGACTCTCGGACATTTAACATCTGTCCACCCCATGCATATATGCACGTGCTTACGCACCTATGCAAATGTCCACGTGTTTATCTCTTGGTGGTATACATCCGCTCGCGGGGCGGCGAGGCCGCGGGCGAATTATCGGGGTTAACGTATTCCACTTGCGGCGGTAATCGGATAAAAATGTAGGACACTGTCGCATGCTTGATTTGGAATACCAATTTACGAAAATTTCTGTAATTACGCTGCTGATCACATCGTGAAGACTATGTGAAGGTAGTTATAATACGTAATAATAATAGATAGACCTATTATAATCTATTATATTCATATAACATTTTAAAAAAATCTCTTTAACTAAATGTCACGTTTTTTATGCGGTATTTGTAAGCGAGAAAGAGAGAGAGAGAGATAAAGTCATCTATTATAATATCATCTTCTAAAAAGATAAAAGTAAATCGCAGAAAAAGCGTGACATTTAGTTAAAAGAGAATTTCTTTCAAATTCCGGTTTTTTTTTTAATATTATCAAAGGATCGAATTTTGTGCGGAGCGTAATTTTTTTTTTTTAACACGAATACATATATATTCGAATTTTTGCGACATTTAGCCACGCTGATACTTCGCGAGTGTTCCGCGTGTATTTTTAAATCCAAATGAGATCTCTTCTCTAGTCACGAGGCCAAATCTTCGCGTGCCGTCCAAATCCTCACGTGGTATATATCGTCGTCTGGTCGTTGTCGTAGTTAATCGCGCGCGACGGCCGGCGCTGCGTGCCGATTGTCTCAACTCCCCGGAGTTTATCCTCGATTCGCGTTCGCATTCTCGGGACTCGGCCGAGTTCGAGCACAGCTGAGCCGGCGCGCGGTGCGGACGCATCGATTTTCCCGTCGTTCTCTGCACATCGAGGGAACCGTTTTCAACGGCACCCCGCGTGTAGACGCGTGCACCATCACCGGCTCCGCCGACACGCCGGGGCACTTGCTCAGCATCCCTTTTCCATCGATTCTGACTCGATTCCGCGTGCTTCGTCAAGCGGAAGAGTTAAAACGGGCATCATTTTTCCGAAAACGCTGGCAACAAAAGGAACCGTTCCACGCAATACGTTTCTGAAAAGAGATAATTGACAAGAGAGGATTTTTATCATTTCTTGCGCGTACTCTCTCTCTCTCTCTCTCTCTCTCTCTCTCTCTCTCTCTCTTTCTCTCTCTCTCTACTTCCAATTAAATGTCAGCGATTAAGTTCGAGAAATTAAGAAGAGAGAAGTAGATTTTTATTGAAAATAAAAATGGCTTTTCTTTTAAAACGCAAATAATTAATACGAAATTTACAAATTGTATTTGTTGTAGAATTTTAATGCGAAATTGATTTGGTCAATTTAGCATTTTTATAACATAATTATAATTATATACAATTTTTTGTAAAGAATTTAATTGTCAAAGTAGTGTTGTAAGAATGAATGCAAAATCGATAAATTTTCGTAAAAAATTATTAAAAAATTAATTTTGTAAGAATTATTCTTAGAATTATTCATGTACTGTACAATGATCGAAATTTTTCGTCGCGATCACGCTATGAAAAGTCTTGGGAAAAAGAGAGGGATCATTTTTTCTACTGAAAAGAAGGGGATTAAAGAATTCGGGGTCAAGTTCAGCCCATCAGCATGAATGATGGGCCGAAAGAAGCTGCAGGTGAACGTCGCCGATAGCCGGGCGACGTTAACGACTGCAGCCAGGACTGGTTTATCAAGATTTCACGGTACCTTCGTATTATACAGATAGTCCCTGCAAGACGTACGCGAGTGGCAAGGGTGGAAGAAATCGAAGGGATCGAGAGCGCTCGGTTGTGAACCCGTCATTGAAACTGATCGCTCCACGCGGGAGGCACGCCGCTCCTTGCATCTTATTCATGAACGATCATCTACTTCTGAACGCCACACGTCCTCAATAGCCCACCTGTGAACTCGGAGTAACACCGTGAAATTGTAAGTATGGATCGTAACTGTAACTCCGAGGCATATTACGCATTGTTTTTTCACTCTCATCACTAAAGATAATATTTATAATTCGATATTATAATATTAAAAAATTGTGTTTTTTAATGTAATTTTGAAAAACTAATATATTTCTGAACAGTGAATACCTATATCATTAAAATTAAAATCGAAATTAAAGGTTTTGATGCTGATTATAATTTTATTCGGATTTCATTTTCATATAAAATTTAATATCATCTACTTTTGCTCCTTTTATTTCTTTAGACTTTTATTACTGTATTAACTGTGCTATTTAAGACTACTTTGGTAACCTAGAGCTTTAGGCACTTAAGGGATAACCCTGATATTTTTTTTTGCTTGCAAAAAGATATCGCGAAAACTTTGGTATCGAAAAGATCGATAGAAAATAAAATATTTAAGCAACCTATTGAAAGTTTTGTTAACTTCATTATGTTTTCGTCAGAGACTTTTATGAAAGTGATTTTTTGAAAAAAAAACTCAAGTTAAACACAATAAATTCTCTTGCTATTGCCAATAGATTTTGTACAAATCCATTATATCAAGAAAATTCATAAAGTAAATATTAGTTTCCTTTATTTTTTAAAATTTTTATTAAATATATAAAGAATTTAATTTAAAAATATTTAACACGCAATTTTTAAGTCATATTATACCTTTTCCATCGACATATCTGCTCAAAAATAAGTAATATAATTATATCTGATATTAAACAAAATTTCACTAAAATAATGGTATTGAAATATCCTTGGCAACTTAAGAGAAAATATTGCTTGAATATTACAGTTAAAATCAGATTTACATTTGAATTGAATGACTTTATATGTCAGTCATTTTGAGATCGATCGATCATGATTGCACAGTATAATGCAGGGAAAGGAGTCAGGCGGTGGCATTGTAGGGCGCGACAGGAAGCCGAAATTGATATTCGGTACTCTTATTCATCTTGTCGCGTTCTTCTTTATAGTTTCGAATCCCAGGCAGAGACGACAGGGAGAGTGCATTGAGCATTGGTTCCTTTCGAGTCCTTCATTCACTGTCTCGCTGAATCCGGTACCATCTGGTCCTCCACCTGTGCCCAGTCAACTGTTCCTCCGCCAGTGCAACCAGTGCGAGTCCGGTTTCAATCTCGGATGTCTTTTAGCATTTTATCTCACGGCGACAAGGTAAGATAGAGCAAGTAAGATAATATCGATGCGCGTTTAAAGGCCCGCATGCCGCCTCGTCTTGCCTTCTCGTACAGACAAAATTTTGCACCTTGATGTCGAAACAATCGGAGGCCGGAGTGCGAGAGTCGTTGATCTTTTTCGATAAGAAAACGCTGAGGAATGATCACATAAGAATTCCCAGATTTGCATGTATAAATAATCCATGCTGTATAATTATTTTACAGTCACTTTCTTAAGCAAAAAAAATTGAAATAATAATTTTTTATAAAAAATATTTCATAAGTTTGCGACAGATTTTGTTCATAATTTTTGGGAAAATGTTTAATAATTTTCATTTCAATAATTACTGGATAAATTTGAAATTTAATGTAACGTTAATGCACGCGCGTAATCATAAAATAATAATTAAAGCTTCATATTGCTCCCTTTTTTGCGCGTACCTTGTAGGGTTAATACGATTTCATGCGAATTGAATGAGCATAATAACCCTTTTAACCCTTTGTCGAACAAAGGGCTTGTCCATTACTGCAATATTGCATCACGACTCCATGTTATACAAGCTTTGAACTTTTCTGCGATCGTTTTATAAGACAAGAAAATACAAGACAACGAAAATAAAAAAAATTTTGCTTGCAATTTTTAAATACTTATACCGATTTATATATTTTTATACTAAAAAATTCTTAAGTGCATATTGAACATTAGGAGTACAAAGAACTTTGATGTGCTTTCATATTTAAAAATGGAAAAATAAGTGAATTCCCAGCTCCTATCTCGTATATGCTAGATATTTTAATTTTTCAAAATAAAAACAAAATTATAAGTGGTTCCGGCCGGGATCGAACTGGCGACCTTCTGCGTGTAAAGCAGACGTGATAACCGCTACACCACGGAACCTCGATGCCTTTGGTAGCTCCTTGTATCCATGACAATGCACTCAGTGTTAATAAACAATTGTTATTTTCAAATAATGATGTTACTAAATACAAATTCATTCAGTTAAGTAAAATATAATTACTTGTACGGGCGATAAAATCATTTCTAAGGAATTAATTTACATTTTACGTAAATTCGTACTCGATCGATAAATCATGTGGCTTTTTCTCGCGTCGTATAGATGGCAACTGCGATCTATACATAAACGTCAAATGGGGATTTAATAATTTTATACGAGTTCAGTTTTACACCTTTTTTGCTCTTTTTAATTATTAACATTTGAATTCGAACATCGACGCTATAATTTATTTACGATAATGAAAATACAATAAAAGGAACAAAGAGTGACACTTTTAATATCTTTTATTTAATTTGTATTTTAATATAAATTGTCGCGGAACGAATTTTTATTGCTTTTTCCATCGTTTAACAAATTATAAAAATTCAATTTTATGATCTAAATTACAGAATTTTCCTATGCTCTCTTATATATTAAAATTTTACGATTGTCTTTTATACGCAATTATTTTTCAATGAAATTAAATATATTATTATTTCATTTAGGACATTTTCCAGCAAAAGACACAATTGACACAGTGTAACACAGTGATTTATTTTATTCTTATTTAATATTGGCAAAGGATGACATGATTTACATGTGTCATTTATGTCTATATTTTGCTGCAAAACGCTCTTAATGATGAATACTAAGAATTTCGTCCTTATCGATAATACGAAAGTATGTTAAATACATTTAATGCAATGAACATGTAATCATAAGTGTATTACACGCATAAATAATTATTACGTCAAATTTATTAATTATATTTTACAATCAAGTGCTCCATAAAGTGCGATAAATGCTTCATATTGTGTGAAAACAATGCATTAACGCAACAGTCCTCGGTAGTATAGTGGTTAGTATCCCCGCCTGTCACGCGGGAGACCGGGGTTCGATTCCCCGCCGGGGAGATTTTTTTGCATTTTCTCTTAAATCATAATTACGCTCTCTTTATTTTCATCTATATGCAGTAATTATTTAATATGCTTCGGCAAGCTTTTTTTTAAAATTAAATTAAAACAGCACCGAGATACTATATTACTAATAATTGTAATTAAAAACTTTGAAGTTTTATGGTTTTAAAAAATTTATAGTTAAGAAGACTGATTGATTCTAAGAATCCTATTATGTAATTCTTAAGGCTGTTATTATTGAAAGATTATCGTTAATAAAGAATTTTTTTCTTCTATAACAATAAAATAATGATAAAATTGTCAGCTAAAAAAATATTGCTGAATTTATAATAAAAATTTATAATTTATAAATTTGTTACCATTTTATTATTAATGAATAACAGCCATTATTTATAGAAAAGTTGTTTAACGACAATTATTTGATAACATCGTTAAACATATTACATAATAGAATTCTAAATTTAGATAACGATTTGTCATTTTAAAAAATGCAAAACTGAAACACTTTATCATTACTTTCAATATTTAATTCAAAATCTTTTTTATCATTCAAAAAAGTTTGTAAGAGGAAGGATATATAATTTAAATACACGATACACGATATTATTGCAGATAATATATTTTTGCAAAGGTTATTGTATTACTTTATTTATAAAAAATACAACGTGTTATAATAGACAAACTAAGGAATAAATATATCGAATCAAAAAGCATCTATAGCTATTATTGTACATAGGAAGATGACAATTAGGAAGATGACGGTTGTTAGTGTACTGAACGTATTCATTATAGGGATAGATGTAACTAGCACGCAAAAACACATACCTTGTACAATCTACATTTGTACATAGGCACACATTTATACAATTATAACACACATGAATAAATCGATCCTTTTAATAGGAATCGAAGTATTAATTAGTATACATATAATATAATAATATAATTTTAACATATAATATAATAATATAATATTAACTGTATTTATATAATGTGTAAATATCATCACAACACGCATACACACACACACACACACACACACGCACACACACACATACACACACACACACACACACACCAATTAAATCCATAATTGTTCTGTTTCTTGATGGCTACAAGTTATTCTATTTATAATTATGGATTAACATTCTGAGGAACATTTCTTAAATAACACAATCTCATTTTAATATGCATTTGAAAAGAGAGCATTAATATTTTTTAATAATATAATTTTTATATTAATCATATTTTTTGTCTAAACTGGAAATGTCTGTTTGGTTTTCTTCTCAGCAGATAATTAATTATATAATACATCAGCATGGTATTGTAAAATTATAAAACATACATGATACATAATGCAAATTATAAATAATTATTCAAGCTTTATCTAGCTCCGTTATTGTGCTGCTACGAGGGGAGCGTAAAAAATATTGCGGAAACTCAATGCGCGATATTAAATTAATGAAGTTAATAATTAGTTAATGGAACGTGTGCCTCTCGTTTATTAATGAAATATAAATCATTTAACTGAACGTATGTAAATATTTTAGTTCTGTTAAGTCAATCAAAATTTTATCGTATCTTTATCACGAGACAGCAAATTTTGCAGTTTAGCCTGACGCAGCATAAAATTAAATTAATACATTTTGTTTCATTTATTACTTTCCTTTTTTATCGCCGCGGCAAGGCAACAAGCAAGGATGATACCGGCAATCTGAAAGGAAAAACAATTTTTTTTTAATTCAAACTAGTGTCATAATAACTTGATAAACGAATTTAAATACAATGTATATCTTCGTTACGATAAAAAGTTGTATAATTCTTAATTCGAAAACGTTTCTCGTGTTTATTTATCTTTGCTTACGCTTTTACTTAAAATCCGTTAGTTTTACTACAATAATAAAATGCTAATATAGCATGTAATAGTCAATATACGCTTGACGTATATCATTAAAATATATCTTGTAAATTGAAATTTTACTCGCCTCCACAAAAGCTATTCCAATGCCCACACCGATCAAAACCGTGGCGCATTTCTGGACTTGCATTTCCAACTTGCTAAAGCATCCATCCCGGTAATTATTTCCTGGTCGACACTGATATTGTGTATTATTGCAACAGGACTGTGGATAGTCACGATTAGGTGAATTCCACCAATCTTGGGGTTGGTCCACGCCGCAACATTGAAACTGTCGCAAAACAAATAAAATTATCAATGTATTAATTAAATGTAATTAATTTAAAGAAAATATTAAACAATTTAATGCTTCACTTAAATAATTCAAATAAATAATTATTATGTCATTTTGGACGTCAACGCAGAATAAAAAAATTTATCATACGCGATCTGTAATTTATAATATATTTTGTTATATAAAACTATTTTCGCCAAAGTAGGACAAAGTAATTTGAGATATTGAAAGGAAACACAGGAACTGTGTCAATACGAGAGTTGAAATTAAAGTCAATGCACATGCAAAACGATTGTAATTGCTCATTTACACGATGATTATTTCAAGTGACCTAACCCACCGTTATTATAGGAACCATTGTTTTCTTTATGGCACGGAAGCTATACTATTTCATCACCTCATTTTTGTATCGACAAATCCATTAGCAGACGTTGTGCTCCAGATTCACTGAGCACAATAATTTACTGACCTTCTGCTGCACAATATCCCAAGCTTGCTTGTCGGCCTCCGTGTAGTTCCTCATCGAATTCTTCAAGGAATCCTTCAATACCATGCCGACATCATTTTTAAGCACCGCCGCTGCTATGCCCACCGCGAGCTCGATCACGAAAATTATCAACAATGCGGCCGCAAACTAAATTATTTTTTTTATATTAATATAATTGACAAAAATTGCAGTTGTAATTTATAATTATTTATTGTTTTTTATAAAAAATATTAATAATTTAAATAATTTAAAAACGCAACAAGATAAAGATACAAATACTTGAAATTATATGTATATATAATTTGATATATTAATATCTAAAGATACATGAAATGTTCCGAAAATATTCAAATTTAATTTTAATTAAGAAATTAAATTTAATTGAGAAATTAAAATTATTTTTATTTTTACATTTTATCTTAGATTTTTAGATAAAATGTATATAAAATAATCAATGATTCTATCATTAAAATTGACATCAAAATTTTTTAAATACATTTTTAAGAAAAGAAACTTTAATAGAGAGACGTCTTGTATTTCCCCCCCCCCCAAAAAATTATTAAATTTTTAATTATTTCTGTTATTGGGATAATTATTTAGCACAAGTAAAATTATTTTGTTGTAAGCTATTTTATTATTTCGTTGATTTTTTTTTAACTTACCACCATCAACATGGTATAATGTTGCTTTATTGCTCCGTAACATCCTAAAAAAGCTATGATAAAAACGACAGCTCCCGCAACTATAAGCACTATAGGCGGTGATATTATTCTGCTTTCCGCGAAGTGATTGAAGTCGCCGACATCTGCTAACACTAACGCGCCGGCCACAATAATACCTAAGCCCGATATCTGGAAAAATCGATTTTTAGCAATTGTACGTACTTTTCTCCGCTGCGAAATTCTCTTTCACATTTTCTTGATTTTTTTCAAGAAAGTAAAAATAAAAAGAGTAGAATTAAAATGCGTAGAAATTTCTATATACATATTTATAAAAGTACACTTTTTAATCAATATTTTGTGAAAATAATTTTTATTAATTAATTAAAGAAAGAAGAATTATATTTTAAATAAAGTGGAATCTTCGCGAAGATTAAATTACAATTTAAAAATCACAATTCGGTATCAAAAGGCCGAATCTTCTTACGAGCCACATAAATACCCGAAAGTATCTTGAATGTCCTCAGAAATCAATAAAAATCGAATAAATCATTGGAATGTCATATGCGGCCTAAAACGATGCTTAACAATAATTGTATAAATTTTTTTACGATTTCCAGTTCGGGTACTTAAATTGCGCGCCGAATATTTGTCGATCTTGAAACATTAAATTCTGTAGAATAACTTATGTACTGCGAAAAGTATCAGCCGTCCTGGCTAAGATAATATTTTTTGCAATAAGTTATTCTAATGAATTTAATAATGAAGATGCTCAGTGGAATCAAAATTATTAAATTGTTTGTTTATTTAATTTGTGATTTATGTAGATCAGATTCAGTTTAGAGCTGTGTTTCAAGACCGACAAATATTCGGCGCGCAGTTTATCTGACAATTGGAAATCGTAAAAAGATTCACACAATTATTATTAAACATCAAGATCATTTTTAGACAGCATATGGCATTCTAATGGTTTATTTAGTTTTAACTTTCGTGGTCTCGTTTAGGTTTCACATTAATGTTCAATAAAAACTGGATGTGTCCGCATCACTTCAAGAGAGAAAAAAATAAAACGTAAAAAAATAAAAAGAAAATATTTTTCACTTGAATGATTACAACACACTTGCCGCCAAGATTGTTCCTGCACGGAAAGAACGATTTTGCTGGAAGGTCTAAAAATTTTGCTAAATACAGATCTGAAAATAATTCTTGTTGAATCATCAAAATAATTTTGTTGGAAAGTAAAAAATGATAAGCATTTTTAACTGTCCAACAAAATTATTTTAATATTCTAGCAATCAGTTTGACTTTCCAACAAAATTATTTTGATTGTATAACAAAAATTATTTTCAGATCTGAATCCAGCAAGATCGTTCTTTCCGTGTGACAAAACCCTTATTGCTTCCAATTCGCTCTACTCACTGCGAAGATTAAGTTGAAAATAAAGAGGATGTATTTGATGGCGTTCATTCCGCACGATTCCATGATGTTTCTTCGTGTCTACCTGTCGTTAAAATTAATTGAACTTTATTACTTCTTACTATTGTTATTCCGAATCGACAATTTACGAGAGTTCAAAAAGCCAAACACATAGTCGTTTGGCTTGCGTTCCGTGTGACGGCCGTACGGTCAATGGGAGCGATCTGCCTGGTGCCCCTTTGTTCGAGCTAGGGAAGGTTTCGATCGAAATCCTCGGCTTCGAGGTCGCTGGCAGTCCAGGCGTGAGCACGGTTTCCAGGTCGAAGTCCTGCGTTACCTTCGTTATTGGTCAGCGAATCAAGAGTCAGTGGGGGATAACCATGATTATTTCTTTCTATTATTAATCCAGGCAAAACTTTTAAGAGAGTTCCAAAAAAAGATACAATCATATTTAAAAATGTCCTTTGGCAAAACTAGGGTGAAGCCATACCTACCCCCCGATTCGGTGTTCTTTAATTCGTAATTCTTTCGCATCGTCGCATGTAGGAGCAGTCGACTCCATTCGTTTTCATCAAGCATCCCCACGTGCGAAATTGGCCGCGGTACTAACAATTATTCTATAAGAAAGTTTCTTCGATGGACTTGACTTTATGGCACTGAACTTTGCGTGTTGGCAATACATTAACTTTTGAGTCACTATATTTGTGTTTAAATTGATTAACTATTACTAACTTTCTAATAAGCTCCTTTGGGCGTGACCCAAAGAAATTTGCCATTTAATTAGATTTTTATTAATTTGAAATTGTGTGTCAACAATATAATAAGCAATTTAAAACAATAACAGAAATTTAAAAAATTATATTAATTGATGCTTCAATTAATATCTCGCTACGTGACGCAGTTGATTGAAGGTAATTTTTATTATCTTGAAAAATATTTCATATTAATATTATTGGTAAGATTTATAAATTTATTAAAAAATAATTTATATATTTTTTTATTTATTTAATATTTTCTTTTCTGTATTTCTCTCATTTGATCATAAAATTTTGTTTCCATTTTTTTTTTGTACGAGTGACAGTAATACATGTTATTTCATTAATTTACGGAATGGCAAAATGTTGTACGAGTAAACTTTTCAATTACCTAACTCCAAATGCATTACCTCGCGTTGCATTGCATGCGAGAAGCGTTCTCGACGGACGAGCACAGTCCGCCACAAATTTATCGGAGGATCAGACCGATCGCGCATGAGCATCGCGTTAAACGATTGTCCTTCGCAGTTCAATAATGTCACATTATTTACATGATGGGAATTCCGGGGGGAATATACGCACAAAGTGGGTCACACAGGCGAGCATGCCGACGACGTTTTCGTTTTCGACGATTCGATCCGTCCGATTGGCATCTACGTTTCGTCAGTATCAACTTCTGGAAAAGTTCGAGCGCGGTTTGTTCATGCTCAGTTGGGATTCGCGTAAATCCGCCATTTCGTGCCGTACCGTATGTAGGCTAATGAGAACACGGTAAATATAGTTATCACGCTCATTCCTCAGGTAGCTGCACGTAATGATAAAATACATAATGATAACACGCCACGATTTAAAGTTCAATGCTACACGACTGAAACATACTTTTCCACTCCGCTCGTCGTGCACGCTACATTCGTACTTGATGTTTACACATTGAAGTCAACACAATAATTTGTTAATGTTGATGCCGATAAATACCCTTTCAGAAATTTAATTCTGGAGGATCCAAATAATCATTTATTTTGAGTATTAAAAGCACTGTTTAGTAATGCTCTCAAAATAAATAATTATTTGACACTTTCAGTCTTAAATTTCTGTAAAGGCGCAGTTTAATAATTTAGTATAATAAATAATTTTACCATTGAGGTTTAGAGGCGGATCGTGGTGATAGAAAACAGGATGATTTTTACATCAATCAAGAATTTTATTTTAACAAATATAGCTTTACATTATACAAGCTTTACTTTCACAGTAAAGAGACATCAGTCGAAAAAGTCGTACACAGAACATTTGCGATTTAACCGACTAACGTGTCTGCATTAAAAAAAAAAAAAAAAAACGAGAAATGTGACTGTAAACGAAATTATAGTTGTACATAGCCTAGACTTATCCTGCAAAAGTGCGCGTTACGAGTACGAAGAAATCGTAAAACCGTACTATATTAAGAGTACAAATAAAATGAAACTGACTATCCTATAACAAGTAACATTTATAAGTTGACCAATCATATTTCTTAAGTAGCTAATTAAGTAGATGCAAAATTGCAAATTGTAAAACGTAATTCACAATATATTTACGTATACGTAGATCCGTTCAGACTTATGGTGAATTAAGTATTTTTAATAGTAATAAGTAATATTAATATTGCGCAACATTAGATTGTATATAATAAATATGAAAATTTTTCGTTGTTTACTCGTTATTTAAATCAAACAATTGAGAAACATGGTCTTTCGATGTATCGATCTGGACAGATAGTTTGACGTCCACCGGTACGTTATAAATACAATTAAAGTCAAACCTCGTCGATTTATCGTAATGAGATTTATCGTAATCGGCCGGTAAGCCACTTAACGTCAAAAACAAAAATCGCTAACAATAACGTTACTCCGAGACGCTTTACAGCGCCGATTAAAAATTTTGTTACTCGTCGACTGCTGATATATACCGGTGACGAATTAATCGATGGCCGCGGCTCCCGTTGATTCGTCAGCTCGAGATGCAAATGTAATTTACTCTCTTATCCCCGAACACAAGACGCGCGAAATTACTTGGAGCCCTCCCGTGGGATCCAGTTAGAACTTGAGGTGCTGATAAGCGACGACGAGGAAGAATATCACGAGGGTCGTTACGCTCGGCGTGGTGAACGAGCCGGAATTCCACCTGCTGTCGTATTCCGGCGACCTAAAAGCAACAACATTGAAGAAATCGATAATTGTGCTCTTAATTGAATTGCGCAGCATTACGCGAGGCACAATACCGGCGTTATTACCGGCACATTTCCGGCATTCGGAAAAATTCATACATTGCAACGCAATTTTGCGAGCTGCCGTGCCTCGCCCGCCGCGAATCTAATTACGTGCAAAATGCAGTAATATACGCTGAGACCTGAGATTTGTATCTATACATTTAAATGAAATACAGTCTGCATTTCACAACGCATCGCATAAATCTAAATTGCAAATTATATATATAAATTGTATTGCTATTGTATTGCGGTGCGGTACAAAGCAGAACAAATATCGCGAGCGTTCTTGAAAGCATTAATATTTATTGGCATTACTCGAACAACAAATATATTGGCGATGACAAATAAAAATAAGCAAAATAATATGTTAAAAACTGTGCAGCGAAGACTCTGTGCTAAGCGACGTGATGCTTAAAAATTAAGTTTATCGAAAAATTATTTTTAAAAATTTATGTTTTGTTTCAAGTAAAAATAAAATATATATTTTCATAATAAATATTTTACCGTATTCTGACAGAGAGAAAAAGAGAATATATATTAATAACTTTTGCGGTTAATACAAGTTGCGATATTTATGATATTTATTATACGATCGTCCTGATACTACTGTTGAATAATCGTTACCGAAAACAGATGATATTAACTTTCCGGACTTTATTTGTATTTTGCAGAGGAAACTCGTAAATTATCAAAGTATTATCATCGCGCCGCTTTATTAGCGTGGAAACATAGTCCGAGAAAAAACATAGATTAACCGGCGAGTCTCTTAACTACGCGAAAGTGCATAATGCGCGCGTATCGTTTAGATCTTAAACGTGCGTGATCGTGAAATAATTTATAGAGGTGCATACATTCTCATTGCGCTTACAGCATATATATTTTCTAAACTATTATATATATATATTTATGTTTTCTTTACGGTAACACAAAAGAAGCGATCGGACAGAACAAGAGAGTGAGAAGAGGAATACAATCGGGGAGACACAGAGGAATAAAACATTTGTTAAAGTATCATCAACAATTTACATACAAAACACGCTACGAATCAACAGTCAGAGAGGAAAAATTACATTACATTTATACATAGCGTATGTGTTGTTATACTAATTCTACACACATCTATTTCCCATTTATTATAAATGACAAAACTCTCTTACAAATTATATAAAATATAATATATTATTTTATATAGAGGAAGATTCTTGTATATCATAGAAAGAGTAACTTTTCAACAGTATTGGAGTATCAATCCTATTCGGGGCGAATTTCTAATCAAATCTATGGGGTGGTACCGATCCTTTTTCTCCTCCGTCGATCGTTGATATTTTCCTTCGAAGTACCTCAGATTTTTCTGTAATGCGCAGAGCACAATGAAATACGGCCACTCAATTTTGCTTTTGACGATTCTCGTGGAAAAATACTAGGATTATTGATCGTGTGTATAATATTGATATCATTATTATGTTCTAATATAATAGAGAGATTATTTACGTTAAAAATAATAATATTAAAAAATATAAAATATATACTACAAACGGCATTGGAAGAATGTTTATTACTAAATGAGTATATTTTTCACTGCCATCTGGAAGAATATTTTCTGCCATCTATTGTGCTTACACAATTGTGCTTACAAAGTTTTATAACATTTAGAGAAATAAGCAGTAAGCAAAATAAAAAACCTTAATTCCTCTGTCTTGTTACCGGAAATCTAAAAATTGTTGCATTATGAATGATAGAGAGACGCTATATAAGAAAAAATTGTGAAGAAAGCACGTAAATACAGAAAATCGCATGAAAATTTAATGGCATAAAGCGCAAATAAAAATGTGAGAGAAATATAAATTCTATATATATATATATATATATAT